AACTCATATGAGGTAGGAAAACCGGCTTGTAACAACAATCAGCCGTAACCCAGGCCAGCTGGGGAATACGGGCCAGGTGGGCCGACCCTCGAGAAAGAAGCGCGAGCCGCATGTGCGCGCGCGCGCCTGTGTGTGCGTACGTACTTGCGTGCCTTGCGTGCGTGCGTGCCTTGTGTTCGTACGTGCGTGCAGGCGTCTGACTGGAGCGTTCCTCTTAGAGCGGGGAGGTTTGCGTAGCGTCCTGAAAGCCTTGAAAGCCCTAGGCCTACAGAGAGAGGAGGGAGGGACGTCGTGCTCAAGGCGAAGAAGGGCTAGAGGGGAGGGTGCTTTAGGCAGAGAGAACAGAATTCCAAAGGCCTGAGGCAGGAGGGCAGACCACGGTGAGATTTTACCTTTGGTTGGATTTTAAGGTTTTAGTTCTTGTGTCCCTGGTGCCCTTCCATTTTATCCTTCAAATGTTCTTTGAGAAACTGCCAATACACTGGAGGGCACGGTTAATTTTTTTTAATCTGTAACCTGTCCTAGCAAAAATGACTCCCTAACTTTGTAAGTTAGGGGTTTCCACCTGCAAGGATTTCTAAAAGAAAAATTACAACAATTCTACTACCTAGTGTCTACTACCTTTTGCTCAAATATTTTATTTTTTTTAAAGGTTAGCTCTATAAAGGCTGTTGTTCTTATCTCAAGATGACATGGTAGTACCCCCTGAGTATAATTAATTCCACAAAAATGTATTGCGCAGTGACTAAGAAGACCCAGCTCTGCCCTCATAGAGGTTGTAGGCTGGCGACAAGGAATAGACATTGGACAAACGATTATACATATGATGAGAGCTAGGAAGGGGACACACAGGGCAGCCTGGGAAGGTGTGACTAGGGGTCCCAAAATAGACTAGAGAGAGCAGGTGAGGGAAGGGCTTCCTGACTGAGCGACGTTTACACTGAATTTTGAAGAATGAGAAGTTTGCTAAGGGAAGGAGGAAAAGAATGATCCAAGAGGAGGCAAAATAGCATGTGAAAAGGCCCAGAGGCTGGAGAAGCGTGAAGAACGGAACTAAGTGGTGATGTGGCTATAGAGTATACAGATGGTTGAAAATGGAGTTGGAAAGGTAAGTGAAAGCCAAGAGATTCAGGGCTTTGTAAGCACTTGGGTCTTTTTTTTTCTTTTTTTTGGTTCTAGAACTTTATTTCTAGACAACCAGCAGTTAATTCTCATGCACATTAACTGTAGATTTTTGAAAGTAATGAGAAGTACATAGGTAACCAATGTATAGAGCTTGTTTGGTGAGTCTTCGTCTTTATTACTTTTCTGGACAACTGCAGATGGATATGGTTTGGGACGTGCCTTATTCCTTTGGCCCAGACAGCTTTGTTGAGCGTTGTGTCAATGTGCACATCTGGAGTTCCCATCTCCTTCATGGCAAATTTCTGAATTTCTTTGAGTGCCCGAGGCACATGCTTCTTGAGACCCACTCCGTGGAAGTGCTTGTGAATGTTGATAGTGTATTCTCCAGTCACCACCTTGATGATGGCGACCGGCCCTTCTTGTTCTTGCCCCCCTTCCTTGTGGGAACCATTCTGCCTGGCAGGGTTGGAAAAGAAGGGTGCAGTGGATTGTGGGAGGAGGACATGGCTCTTTATCCAGAAGTAAATGGGGAGCCATTGAGGGTTTGAGGCAGGGGTGGAGATAGAATGACATTTGCATTTTATGAAGCACATCCTGGTTGTTGAGAGCAGATTGTAGGGGGCAAGGGCAGAAGTGAGGAAGTTGCAGATGTCAACAAAGAAAGAGTTGGTGACTTGGACGAGGGCAGCCCCCTTTGCCCTTGGCCCCCTGAAGCCTGGGGAGCCAAGCTGTCCTTCATCTAGTGTTCCATTCAGGGCACTCGCTGTTTCCCAACCCACTTTTTCAGAAGAATCGTGTGTGTGTGTGTGTGTGTACATGTACAGGTACATGTGTGCATGCATGCACATCCTTGTTTCCTTGAAATTCCCTTAGTTTTACTTTCATTGCTTCCCTAAAGCTTGAAGCTACTGTTGCCAGAGTCCATTGGGACTGTGAGTACCTACTCCTTCTTCGAGACGTGCCATGTGGGGAGGTGACATGGGAACACTGGCTCCTCACTGTGGCCTCTGCTTTCAGGACCATTAAGTGGAAGTCTCGATGGAGAGACTTGGTGTCTGATACAGGTGTGATCCTCTCATCCACACACCCCGCTGGCTAGGTGCCTATTCTCCTTCTGGGAGGAAGGAGGGATGTGACCTCCAGTTTGTCACCTTTTCCTCTCCTGGTCTGGCAGTGCCGTTTATACTTTTCTTCTCCAACCCGAGGGAGAAACGGGAGCCAGGACTGTGGAACTGGAGGGGCTCCCTACCCACCCCCACCACCAACCCACAGGATGAAGGGCACTAGGAGTGTGTCTGTTTGAGGCAGGAAGAGGGTGTTGATGAGGAAGAGAAAATAACAAGGACTGGAAGTAGGGGCATCTCCATTTCTCAAGACTCACTTGCCAAAATACTTGAGTGACGAGTGATAAAGAAATGGGAATTGGGTCTGATTCCTTGTGTGGCAATAATTCATTCTAAATAATTGAGAGTCATATCTACCCAAAGGCTTAAGTGGCCTACATTTTGATGGAGAAAGTCTTGTTAATAAAAATACAGCCTCCATTTTGTTGAAGGCTTACTAGGTGTCGGGCACATAGTCAGTGTTTTATGTGCATTCTATTATTTAAACTTCACCCAGGAGGCTGATTCTCTTTTTATTCCCATATTACACATAAGGAAACTTAAGGATAGTGACCTACTCAAGGTCTCACAGCTAGGAGGTGGAGCAGAGTATGGCTTCAAAGTGAACTTGTCCCCTACACCATGCTACACCTTTTCTCACTGAGGAGGGCTATGAGAGTGGGTTCAAAATCTGGGCCTCAGTAAGTAGTTAATGAAAGAAAAATCTGGTCCTCAGATCACCTAGGAGCTTGTTGGAAATGTAAGTTCAGAGACCCAACCCCAGACCTTCTGAGACAGACTCCAGGGGTGCTGGGCCCTGGGAATCAGCATGTTAACAGGTCCCCTGAGATTTCAGACCCTCTGGACAAAGCCAAAAGTGGAAGAGTGCATAGAACCAGGGTACATCCCCCTTCCCCCAACAGCCATGGGACCTGCTTGTCCCAGCCAGGTCAGGTGACCCAGAGAGGCGGGAGGATGTCTGTGGCTCTGAATTGCAGCCAGTGAGAAGAAGCCTCACTGCGTCCCCTCTTGCCCAGCAGAGTTTTCCCAGAATGAGATCTGGCTGATGCCTGTGGCTCCCGCAAGCTGCTCCAATCCAGGGAGAGAGAGATGTCTTGTCGCCAAGGAGGCCGCAGGGTGGCAGGGCCAGAACAGAGCCATGGACAGGCTCACTTAGTGTCTAGTCCACCTCCCCTGCCTCCCTCGCCCAGCACAGGGCTCATGTCCCAGCCATGTCGCTGGCCTTTGGGGCAAAAGGATGATCCTCTCCTCCAAAATAAGCTCATTTGTGAATTGCCTGCTTAATCATTTTGGACCTTGGAAACTGGAAGTTTTCCTGGGACAGTGAGCTCTGCTTGGAAGAAGGGGTGACCGAAGTTTTACAGCCTTGCTGTACCCCTACAAATTCCAACAAGACCTCTGAGGTTAATTGGATGTTTGGGGAAAATGATTTCTCCCGTTTAAAGCAGGGACCAGTTGATTTTATTCCCTTAGTCAGATGTAACCAAATTTCAAAAATCAGGCTTACAGTCTCTTTTTCTTATATCAAACTCACATAGTCCTTGGTATATTTAGGAAACTCAGCAGGAAATAGGACCACGCACATTGTATGCTAAACTCTGTATTTCTCAAGGATATGTTTGGTGCTTATTTATGCAGACTCTGTAAGAATATGTAAGCTGGTAAAAGGAGTTGCTTCTGAGACAGGAAACCAGGGATAGGGGGCCAGGGTGCAGCATTCCTTGTCACTGCTTATTCCTTGGTACTGCTTACAGATTTAGCCCTGTTCATGTACTACTTGAACAAAGAAGCAATGTAAGGGAAAACAAAGCAAAACAAACAAAAATGGTCACCATGGATACAGGTAAAATGGTGCCTCTCTGCTGGACTCCTCTGCAAGTCTTTAGTTGTAGAAAGATAACAAAATCCTCCAGTCCCTGCCAGCCAGCTGGGCGTTTGTCCTACCACATTCCCCAAGGAGCCCAAATAGTGGCTTTGGTGACGAATACAACGTGGTGAATGTCACAATAGGGGTATGGCATATGTTTGGGTGGGGCCAGGGGCTCTTAGCTCAGGCTTTGGGATGGGCTGAGCCGAAGTCCAGAAGAAGGGAGAATTTGGGGGCACTTGGGGAAGGGGCCATTCTGCTGGGCATAAAGTGCACTGTGGGACAAAGGTAAGGCTGACATGACAGGCCAGGTAACAGAGACCTGGGTGGGTGCCTAAACACCTAAATTCCAGGTGGTGACAGAAGCTCCTGAAGGATTTAAAAGCAGGGGGTGGGAATGGGGTAGGCTGTGGTCAGATTGGAATTTCAAAGGATGACACTGGTGCTTACTGGGCTGGCTGGGTTGGAGGACAATTTGGAGGCAGGGAGACTGGTGGGAATGGTCTTTATTCTTTGTCCCTGCCAGATGTGATGGTGACGTGGCCTCACACAGGAGGGCCATGTTTCTAAAGCAGTTCATTGCCCAAATCATGGGGTGCAGTTGAGGCCTTGGTATTGTTGGCATTTCTGGTCATTTCTGGCGGAACAGGACACCCTCAGGGAGATGGAAAGCCACTGTTCCTCCTCCTGCGGCCTCTCTCGGCAGGTTGAGCAGTGGCAGTGACAGCTAATGGGGCTCCAGCTCAGGATGTGAAGGTCCCCAATTTCCTTTCAGGCAATGCCAGGGAGGTTTGAGACTAAACGAGAAAATGGAAGATATTCCTCCCAATTTGGCTCAAGCAGGATTAGATTCAAGTTGAAAAAGGAAAGCGGCTGGGCCAGGCTTGTTTCCCGAGCGCCAGGAACAGTTCATACCTGTTGGAGCTGCTTTATTTAGAGGCAAGAAATGGTTAATCAGGTGGCACCTTTATATGTAGGTGCGACTGGCTTTTTTTTTCTTCTTTGAAGAGAAAGTTTTTTTGCTGTTGGTTAAGAACCTTGAAGATTGAAGCTTAAATTCAACTGGAAAGTGGTCGCTGACATCCAAGGCCTGCAAAGAGAAAAGGGAAATAGCTTTGGGAATTAGGAGACACTCTCATTTTAGTGATGAACAAATTCAGGCTCAGGGAGGCCCAGGACGAAATGCCCAAGCCACCCAGCAAAGTATGCACTGGAGCATTGTCCCTGGACAAGTTCAATCAGAAATTTGGGCAGGTCCTCAAGTTACAGAATCATAGGCTTTGAGACTCAAGGTCCAGTGGCCCAGCGTCTTATCTCCAGTGGTGGCCTGAACCCCTACTCAGTGACACCAACCCATCTTCCCAGGGCGGTGGCACAAAAAGACAAGATGACAGCCATACCTCCTCTTCAGTCAGCCTGTAAGCTTTCTGGAAGTCAAAGGTGCTGTTTGATTTGGGAACGACAGAGCTGACAATCTCTTGTCCTCTAAGCACAATCCTGGGGGAGAGGGAAGATAGTCACGTTAATCCACCCTGTTGATTTCTGAGATCAATCCAGGCTTCCTGTTTGAATGGACTAAGCAACCTGGCCCTTTCATGTGGTGTTCAGGAGTCCAGGCCTGGTTTTAGCTTGTGTTAGGGCTCAGGGAAGGCCACCCCAAAATATGCCATAATGGCATATTGATTATTTTGAATTAAAGTTACTTAAAATGAACAGCCAATGCAGGAGGAACACTCTGACCTTTCTTTCTGGCTCCCTGAAAGCAGGAAATAGATCTTCCCTGTGAAAGGTGCAGTCACCCTGCCTTTGGAGGTAGAAGAAAGGGCAGATACCCTTATCTCCAAAGATAGGGAATTCAGGGCAAGAAGCCTGTATACACAAACCTTGTTACCTCTTTAATTTACTACCCCAAGCCCAGATTCTGTTTAGATTCTTCACTAATTGAGGGCCCCAAACCTGAGTTCCTTTTCCTGTCAGTTGTTCACAAATTTATTGTTTCTTCACCTAAAAAGTATAAAAGCTGCCAACTTTGAACACTTCTTAGGTTCCATTTCTGTGAGACCTCCATGTGCACAAATTAAGATTTGTTTCTTTTTCTCCTGTTAATCAGTCTGTGTCAATTTTATGATTAGTCCAGCCACAAGAACTCAAGAGGGGTTGGGGGAAGTTTTTCCTCCCCCTGACAGTGTGAGCCTCAGGACAGTGCCTACCACTGAGAAACAGGCTCAGCCCTGCTGTGTCCTGTGGCACCAGGACAGTGTCCTCTGGCAGGTAGCCCTCGCAGTAGAAGAGACATGGACATCACAGCAGATAGCAGTGGCTTGTGTACTAAAAATATGGTTCCATTTGCAGTTATTTTCACTTTTTCTGATTCAGTTATGGAGAAAGGTTCTGGTTTATCTTTAATGCCTCCCTAAGCTCCCATTTTGACCGAGAAAGAGCATTCTGCAGGCAAGAGAATTAAGGCACAACTTCACATTGTTCAGTTTTCACTGGGTTTATTTTTACCATTGTTTTTGATTTATGGCAAATAATGCTGTTTTCTTATTTTCTTACCTTAGTATTGTGAGATTTTCTTTAAAAATTAATTTATATCAGAAATGGATGGATTTAAAGACAAATATAGAGAAAAACCGTAGTCCAGTTGCTTTGCAGCAGTGACAAAAAATGGGAACATGGTGGTTAAATGAGTTTGGGAAACGGACTCAATGTATCCCAAGTGTGAGGTGCAATTGGGTCTACATGGCCCCAACCGACTGGCCAAAGAATGGCGACATGAGACAGACTGCTAGCTCGTGACCATCCACTGAGCTTTCCCTGATTCCAGCCGGCTGATTTGGTTTCCTTTGTTTGCCACCAACGCCACCTGGTTAACTTTGAACTCAACTCCATAAGTAAACTCTTCACATTCAGTTGGAGATTTCAGTTGAAGCCATCCTTTCAGACCCAGAGAGTCAAGAACAGCATAGTTAGGGCTTCCCCATTTCAGACTTCTAGTTATGTGTGTGGGCAAGTCTCCTGACCACACTCAGCTCCCCCAGCACTCAGCACATGGAAGTTGTGCAATAAATATTTGCACATAGAACAAAGACTGGAATTAAGACCATTTTATCTTACTCCCCCTATTAAATGTTTATATGCTTTTTTATAGACCATAAAAGATACATGATGTTATGGAAAACATAGAAAATTCAGAGCAAGAAAATAAGAAATGTCAAAAAAGAACACTGTGATCCCGCCATCCTTTGGCGTGCAAGTGTGGAAAACCAAGGTCCCTTTAGTAAACACCTTTTTTAACCTATTGCCCCACTCCACCTAATCCATCTTTCTCTGTAAGTCACTGTTCTGCTCCATTACTTTTGATCACATCCCTCTCCTTTGCCAAGAATGAAGAATGGAGCTGCAGAAGGGACTTGCCCTGCCCAAGGCCACACAGCTGGCATGTGCAAGTGGGTGAGTGGCCATCTCCAGCCAGCTTTGCTACAGCCCCTCAAAATGGGAGGGAAGGGGCAGGCACCTGGGAAGCTCAGTCTCCTGTAACTTCCCACCTTGATTCTGCTTTCCCTGGTACTAGGGCTATTTCCACTTTGGGGAGTGATGATGTCTGCAAAGGACGCCCCAGCCCTGAAAGCTCCACAAGGAACAAAGGAGGTCATGGGATGGAAATGAAAATCAGAACTCAAAACTAGAGAAATGAGAACTGTCCTCTTGCAGATGGCAATCTCACGCTTCCTCGGCAGCAGGCTGAGCTTGAGGATCAGTGGCTACTCGTGGAAACAGAGCTCCTAGGAACTTCCCTGCCTGTGGTCTCCTCTGTGGCTGTGCAAATCGTGAACATTCACATGCTTTAGTTCCCCCCAGCCCCTCCCTCCTGACTTAAGGAGCAAAATTGAAAGCTGATTGAAAACCCCCAGAGAGATTTCACAAATACCAGAGAACACTATTATTTGAATGTAAATATTTGCATTTAGAAATGTGTAGCAAAAGCACTAGAAGTGTAAATTTCTCTGCACTAACTGGTCTCATTTTTAGACTCTTACCCTGAGGAAATCATAAATATACGCCCAAAGTCCATGCTTAGAATGTTTGTTTCAGCAGTGCTTTTAATAGCAAACCCTTGATAATAACCTAATGCCCAGAGATAGGGGATTGAATGAGTAAATAATAGTATGACTTTGTGATGGACTCAAGAGCCATTGAATGTACTGAGCACTTACGTAAGGCAGACATTGTGTTAGAAGTTATACGTGTTACTTTAGTTCTCGTCGTTTACCCAAAAGTGAGGCACTATTACAGTCTATCTTTTACAAGGAAGGAAACAGATGCAGAGAGCTTAAGTCTCTTGGTCCCCCGACATATTAAGTGGTAGGATCTGAATCCAGGCCTGTCTGACACCAAAGCCTGCACTTGCTACCGCTGAGCTACAGTGCTCAGGGCCACCTATATGGCCATGCAGTTTGTATGTTGCACAAAGTACCCAGTGGAGGGGCCTAAATTCTAATTGGCTCAGTTCTCCAAGTCAAGAGCTTCATGTGCCCAGAGGGAGCCGCCTGTTCTAATGCACGCCAAGCACTATATGGGCCAACAGTGATCTGGCAGATGCTTCCTACCTGTCATATGCACAGTTTGTGCTCTTCTTGACCGTGGTGTCCTCTTGGTCCCCAATCAGCCAAATGAACCTGGGGTCAGTCCTTAGCCGGATGTTCTTCCAGGCTTTCTTGGGGATGTAGCTGCAGCCAGCATTGAAGTCACCCATGAAAATGAAATTCTGAAGGACAAGATTCAAAACCATCACCTGTAGGCATTGCTGTCTAATGCTTTGACTCAGAACTGCCAGCAATGACTCCACTTCCCACATCCAGTAAACAGTGGGTTCTGTTGTGGGCTGAATTCTGTTCCCCCAAATTCATACGTTCTAACCCCCCAGCACCTCAGAATGTGACTGTATTTGCAGATGACCTTTAAAGAGCTGATTCAGGTAAAATGAGGTTAAATGGGTGGCCCCTAATCCCATGTGCCACGTGTCCTCATAAAAAGATATTAGGACACAGACACACACACAGGGAAGACCAAGGAGAGGGGCCTCAGAAGAACCAAACCCTGCTGCCACCTTCATCTCAAACATCCAGCCTCCAGAACCGTGAGGATATAAATTTCTGCTGTTTAAGCCACCTTGTTTTTAGTACTTTGTTAAGGCAGCCCTATCAAACAGGGTCCTAGTTTCTTTTTGCTTTTTAAAAGAAGAGGTCACAGTTCAAAATTGAGTCACAGTTCTGATGAATATTTGGCAGGTGAGTATGACAAGGAAGGATGTTTTTAATGGGAAGTAGGGTGTTTGCCGTGGCTGCTCCTTCCTGTCCTTAGTCACCAAGTCTCTCTAATTCGGCACGCCAATTTAGGTGGGGATAAAAGAGTCTGGCTGATTTATTCCCTCACATCTTTTGTCTCTGGCTTAAACTACTGTAGGGGATAAACGTGTGAATGAGTCAACAACTTTTGTTTCCAAGCAGGAAAAATGAACTCGGGTGGTGTATTTGACTTCTTTGACACTGCTCTTTTTCTCCTGTTGTGTTGAAGTTGGGAACTTACTCCCATGGAAAGTTTGCCTATTGTGGAAGTGGGAAGAGTCTTAACAGGAGGGGGTGACAGAGTGAGCTGTCCACCATCAGAACCGGTCTTAGAAGTGTTTTTCCCTGCAGGGCTCTTGGAACAGAATTGTAATATTCCTCAGTCTGGAGGAAACACAGATTTCCTGGTTTGTGCTATTGTTTGGGGCTGTTGCTGACTTTAGAGTTTTCTTCAAAAACATTTTACTTTGACCTTGGGTATCATGGTTTTCCCTGAGATTGCTGGACACGGTTGAGGACAGGATGTCATCCTTAACCCGAGTATCCACCAGCTTCTATTAATAAAGTCGTGGTTCATGGAGCATTCACAGTGTACCAGGCCCAGCATTAAGTATTTTTATAAAGTTTAATTTAAATCTCACAATAAACACTAGGAGGTAGAAAGGACCTTTGACGCCTCTGAAAACAGGATAGAGGGATCTAGTGACCTGCTCAGGGCTACTCAGCTTGGATGTTCAAGTGGTGAAGTCAAGAGCTGAATCCCAGTCAGCCTCACTGAAGGCCCCTCAGCACAAGAATTTCCCCTCTTGTTCATTTTTGTGCCACTCATGCCCCCCTAGTACCTGGCATTTAACAAATGCTCAGTAAATTCTTGCTGAATGAATGAATGAAATTTATAGTTTTAGGAACAATGAAAAACACCGTGTGTGTACTCCATGTCCCGGCTCTGTGTTCACACCTTACTTGACTAATATTGCACTTTGAGCAGCAGAACTGAGGAGGAGGAAGGGAGATCACTGGAGTCATATCTCAAAAGGAGAGAGAGGAATGAGGAAGAGCCCTCTGGAGCACTTCTGTTTTACCAGGAGCTTTCCCAGACCCTCACAGCCACAGGAGGTAGCACTCCTGTTTTCCAGATGAGGAAATAGTTGATGCCAAGAGAGATGGTGGATGTATTCCCCTTCTGTGAGAGTAGCACCCTCATTTCTTTGGAAAACTATCTCCCTCCTCCACTTTAGTCCATGAGGTGGGGGTGGAACTGACAGAGACTTAACCAGTCAGAGCATCTCAACCAGCTGATCACAGTGCTTGGTTCAGGGATGGACATATGACCCAATCAGAGCCAACCCCAGGGTATTTATGGCATTGTGGAAAAGAAAACTTGTCACTTGGTCTGGAAGCTGCTGGTAGCTATCTTGCCATCCCAAAGGTAGAAGCAGCCTGAGAAAGGAGTCCACTCAGAGGAAAGGAGGGTCAAGAGATGGAGAGAGAGAGAGAGAGACAAGATAAGCCCAGATTACTTTACCTGAGCTCTGGATCCAGCTGTGCCTGAACCAGTACATTACTCTTCCCTTTCATGAGCTAGTTGGAGATTCTGTCACTTGAAACTTAAAGACTCCTGACCTCTCTGTCTCACTGTTCTCAACTTCAAAGTAGAATGATCAAAGTAGTTCTCTCAAGGGGTTCTTGGGAGGATGAAATAAACTTGTCCATGTCTAGCCTCAGCATGGTGCCCAGTACCAGCTATTCATTTGCTCAGTGAATTTTGGCCACCATTATTAGTGGAGCAGTGTAGGAGTTCCCAAGACCCACATGGGCGGTACCCAGGCAGATTAGCAAAGAGGATATTTAGGGCCGAGGAAAGGCCTAAAATGAAGCTGTAAAGTGGTGGTGATCTGTGCCTGACCTCCCTTCGGAGTCGCTCGTCCTTCTCAGGGTCCCTCTCAGGGGCCAGATTCTGCCCCCACTAGCTGGGAATTCAGCAGAAACAGAGGGTCATTACCTCCGCCTTCCAGTGACGTTTCACATCCATATAGACATCGGCCAGTTCATCAATCTCCTTAACGGATGTCTCAGGGGTGGTGTGCAAGGGGACAATCACGAAGTCCTTGACAGCTGAGGAACAGGAAAGAGGCAGAGGTCACACATTTCCTCTGTTGAGGTTCCATAAACATTGCTTGAGGGGAACAAGGCTGTCTCCTTAGAAGGCATGGACTGTGTCATCTCGGACCCCCTCATTAGTGGGGGGCCTAGCCAGTGGCTGAGATTTGAATGATCTTGGGGTCATTAGGCCGCTATTTCCAGCACACGAAAGCCTCTTTTCTCCCACTCGCCCTTCATGGCTAAGAGAAAGCTAGTAGCCAGTGTTCCTTGCTGGCATTGGGGGTGTTTTTATTTTCTCATTAAAAAAAACCCTGTATTTTCTATTTTTGAAAATAATAAGCCTGTTTGGCATATGTGCTAAGAAAAAAAGTTTTTTCTAATTAAAAAAAAAATTGAGCCTTGTCAGTTTATACTCCTTTTGTAATCTGGAAAAAAAAAAAACTGAAAAAGTCATTTAAAAAAGAAAGTGGTTCTTTGTAGAGTGTCTGAAAACCTCCCCCATCAGGAGGGGCTGAGAGAGCCTGAGCGAGGGGATGTGGGAGAGCCTGGCGTTCTGAATGCCTCCTCCTCGGGCTTTCCCTCATTCTGGGCCTGGGTCCCCACCCCTACTCAGCAGCTGGGGGCTGTTGGGTGGTCACTTCTCAGTCCCACAGTGGGGACTGGCAGCCTGTCTCCAGGACCCCACCCTGGTTCAGCAGCCCGTCTCTTGCTTTCCTCCTCACTCCTCTCCACTCCCGAACCTCTTTTTGGTCCCCTAAATACCCCAACTCCTTTCCCACCTCTGAGATGTGTGTTCATTGTGCCCTCCCTCTGGAATGCCCTTCCCCCAACCGTCTGTGACTGACTTCCTCAGGTTTCAGCCCACTGTCACTTCCAAGGAACCATCTCTGGTGGCCCATCTAAGGTGGGCCCCTTATCCAACTATCCAGTGAACCCTGCTTACGGCTTTCACGCTCTGAAACTACCTGCTTTACTTCTTTGTTTGGCTCACCTGAACCTAAGCTCTATGAGGGCAGGCTTGTCTGTCTTGTTCACCCTCTTGGCTCTAGTACCTAGCACCACATTGGCGGTGCTCAGAAATGTTTGTTGATTGAATACATGAATGAAGGAAGGAAGGAAAGAAAAGATGGATGAATGGCTATCCCTTCATCTTTAATCCCAAACAGAGAGGACATAAAGAGCTTTCCTTATACGAGAGAGGACTCCAAATGAGGCACAGCTGGGGTGCCATCCCAGTGGGGTGGCTGTGGGAGCAGGCAGGGAAGGGGGAAAGCTCCTAGTAAACAGGTTTGTTCAGCAGTTCACTGAGCCTGAAGGCTCCTTGGAGAAGAGATAATCATTTAGGGGAGAGGGGACTCTCCTAACACTGCCCACGTCAGCCAAATGTGAATCGTATGCATGACAAAGATTGCTGAACATGGTCTCTGAAAGGCATTTCTTGTCCTCGGTAGCCCCCAGTCCTTCTTGTTTTTTATTTCCTACTGGGACTTTCCCACCATTCTCCCATGTTTGTTTTTCTGAAATACTCTGCCCCTCAGCTAATTAGACTTCTGCAGAAATAGTTAACTTCTTAGTTCAAGATATTAATATTTGTGTAGTATAGATGTAACTGTTCTTACATACAGCTCTGCATACATTCATTTGGTAATTATCTGTCTCTCCTACTACAATGTAACTTCACAAGGGTAGGGACCTTGTCTCTCTCATCTCATGCCCAGAGCCTGGCATGTAGTGGGTACTGAAAAAGCATTTGATTCTATATAGTTCCAATCTACAAGTCAAATTAATCCTTGACTTTCATTGAGTATTTCATGGTGGTTAAGAGTGTGGGCTCCCGAGATGGCAGCTTGGGTTACAGCCCTGGCTCATCCACTTCAGTAGTTGATGAACTTGGATAAGTGACTCCACCTTTTTGAACCTCAATTTCCTCCAGTGTAAACTGGACATAATCCTAGTTCCTACCTTGTAGGGTGTTGCAGAGATTATAGGAACCTGGCACTAATCAGGGATCAATAATTGTCAGTGATTGATACAAGCACTATTGTTGTCAGAGCTCAGGGTGCAATTGTTTGGATTTTTTCCTCTACCCTCAGTCTGTGGAGAAACTTGCTCTGTGGTTACTGGAGGGAGAGTGCGACTCTGGGTTGGGGGTTCACCTTTGCTGGCCATTGCTCGGGTTTTTCAAATAAAGGAATAGCTGTACTTGATTAGGACTAAAGGAGTTCTGTAAATAATTTCCATCAGCCTAAATGCTACAAAGAGAGTAAAGTTATTGATTCCAGAAAGTGGGTTCTGGGCTGAGGAAGTCTTGAGTCATGGCATTCTGAGAAGCCAGTCTGGTGTCATCAAACTATACTTGCATCCTCTACATTCAAATATTATGTTTTTTCAAGCCTAGTTCCTCTCTACAGATGCTGCATAAACCCCGGGATCACAACTCACACACAGGGCGGCTGCCCATTCATAGAATCGCTGGGGAGATGATGGGTGCGAGGGGTCTGTGGATCTCACCAGTGTAAGGTGACTGGAACCAGACCACAAAGGGCTCCCTGGAAAATACATCTGTGTCTCCATCCTGATAGTCGTGGTAGAGGTAGCTGTCCTTCACAGACACTAGCTTTTCCCTAGAAGAAAAAAAGGAAGCCCTCTCAGATGAGTTGGCTTTCTTCTTACTTCTTTCAAGAAGCTGAGATGTAGGGTCCCACAGCTTTGTTGGCCTCCTGTGCAGGCTCAAGGCTGAAAGGGGTCTTTTGCCTGAGAACAAGGCTCAGTCAATTCTCAATGGACAGGGCCTTCCGGGAGCTGAAGGTCTGAGCAGTACTAGTTATCCGGGGAACCTCACGAGTTAAAGGTCAAACTTAAAACAGATTACTAGTAGGAAGGAAACAAGAATATGAAGTCCCAGAGCCCGCCACGCTGGGCAACTTAGGTTTCCATCCCTGGCCAGGACTTGACCATCCATGAAGAATAGGAAACTCTTGACCTTCCTGACCAGGTGGTCACTAAGTCAGCCAGCAGAGTTGTTTTAAAGCTTTCATGCTTTGCATCAGCCCCAATTTTGACAGCAATTATTTTGATCAATATTGGGAACCGGTTAGAGATCCAGATTTGGTTTTAAAGAAAAGATACACATTTTGATTCTATTCACAGTCGTAACTGATAAGTGAGCCATTTTCTAGGAAGCATAATTTATACTTACTTGTAGAGAAAGGCATATTGTTCTTTATATGTATTTCTTCCAAGCCGAGAGCTAATCACATAGTTGTACGTTATGCCTCTTCTTGAATTTCTAGGAAACATAAAGATTTGACATTGCATCTTAAGAGTAAACATTCCTCTACTGCATAGTTTCCTCTCCTTCCAGTCCGCCTCCATATCTCCAATGGCATCATGTCAAAGGGCTACTGTTCATCATAACCTTTGAGTCTTATAAGAAGGGCCACCATTGACTGGGAATGTGATATCTGGCAGGATTTTTACAGCCATTATTTCTTATCTTTATAAGGTGAGTACTAGTGTTACCCACTCTTTAGAGTTTGCAAGTACAAAGCTGGGATTTGAACTCAGACCCTACTCATCCCCCAAACACACCTGCATTGGCTTGCTTTTATGGGAGACCATTGAAACCGTAAAAGATTCAGGCCACAATCAGCCTCAAACCCCATTCTGGCCCATGGCTGGGCTGCACGTCATACTTCCTGGTGGAGTAAACCTCATCAGGTCACCCTGTCCCCGCACCACTGCTGAGCGTTTATCATGTGCAGGATTCCTTGTTACGTTTTTGTTGCGCATTCTGTCTTGCTCCAAAAATCCCCAGGCATTTTCTCATGAGCCGTGAAACTGTGTTTCCAAATCAGCTATTGTTTCTGTCCTGGGGGCTGAGGACACAGCCATGAAGTTCCACTAATCCTACTCCTCACCTTTATCAAAGAAACTTGACTCTCAGGTGTGTTAGCCAAACCTGCTGAGTACTCCATCCTGGGCAGAGCCTGACGTGGTTTTACCATGCTGCCTATGAAAAGATCTGGGGCATGACTAAGCTATGGCATATTCTCAGGTTCAGTTGGAAAAAAGCAGAGGGGGTCTTTAGCGGCCAACTTAGACCCTACGGAAATTCCTGGAAATGTATATTCTAAGGCAGATCAGGCCACGGGGCCCCAGGAGTGGGAACTTCTTCTGGGCTTCTAATTTGGGAAGGCTGGCCCTGTTTTGAATCTAGCCTGCCAGATCCTGTGTTGGCAAACTGCTTGCAGTGACTCAGCTGTGAGGTGACTAAGGCCCCTCCTGGCTTACAGAGAATTAGGGCACAAACAGGCCTGGCTCAGCCTGGAGTCCATGGACAGTCTAGGGAGATTGGAGAGAACCAAGACCACTCTGGGTAGGAGGACTTAAACCAGACCAACTGTGGGCAAGTGCCTGGAGCCTCCCTGTCCTCTCAGTCCCCCACACTTCTGAAAACTGGCTGGGGCCACTCCAAGGAAGGCTGAGGAGGCTCAGAATAGACCACTGGCTTTGGAGTCAGACACAACCCAGGTGCAAAGGTAGGTTTGGCCATTTACTGGCTGGGTGACCTTAGGCAGATTCCCTCTCTCTGTGCCTCAGTTCCATCAGCTATAAAAGAGGCAATAATGGTACCTACTCTACAGGGTTGTTGTGAGGAGTAAATGAATGACTCATGTAAATTGATTAACAGGATGCCTGGCATCTATGGTATAGTTAGGGTGTCAACAGTAGCTGTTACTGTGGCCCTCTGGACCATCACCTCCATTACAGTTCCCTTTCTTTTACTAGTAATGGACATCCCCAGCACTCAGTGACCACTATACATGCCTGGCACAGCTCAACCACTTACATGCACAATTTAATTTAATTATCACCACACCCCAGGAAGATGGGTTCTATTATTAGCTCCATTTATAGACAGCAAATGAGGTACAAAGAGATTCAGTAACTTGCCCAAGGTCATGGCAGAGCCAAAATCCAAACCCAGATAATCTGAGCTGAGCATTGGTGCCTATCCCCTGGGCTGCACTCCCTCTGTCACTGTGGAGAGCAGACCCAGAAACAGAAGACCTGCAAGGCTAAAAAGGGGACGCTCAGCTGCCAGCCCGCATTTTCAGATGAGCAACTGAGACCCAGAGAGGGGTGGTGGGGTCAGCTCAAGGGACTCTCTGTGCAAAGGAGAGCTCCAAGGCTGTTCCACCCAGGCCTAAGAAGGCTGGATTGACCATTTATTTCTAAAAAACAACAGGAGTTTTCCTATTTATAGAAGTGTAATAATGGCCAGATATCACTGTTTATTCAGTCTGAATGGGAGATACATAGCTGTTTGTTACCATTTCCTCTGTGCTTTTAAGTTTGTTTAAAATATTTCATGAGAAAAGGGAAGAGGAAATGTAGTATCCTTGTTGTAGAAAATTTGGAAAATACAGAAAAAATGTAGAAGAAATCACATAAAATTCCTTGTAAATTTGTACTCTGATGTAGCCACTTTCCACATTTTGGTTCACTGCCTTTGAATCTTTTATGCTTTTTGTTTCGGTTTGCTTTTCTACATAATTGAATTCTTTGGTACATATTGTATACTCTATTGTTTAATTTTATATCTATGAAAGAAAGTTTACATTAGAAGTTTTTAAAAATTAGGGTGCCTCAGAATCAGTAGACAGGGACCCCAAATTTGCATTTTTAACTCACTCTGGGGTGATTATTCTTTGAGATAGACTAGAAATCATAAATGTAACCTGATATAATTTTAAACTATTTTGAGGACATGAATTTAAAATTTTCAATTTGTAAAATCAATTCAGACTTTTTGTAAAGTATTCAGATCATACAGAGTATATAAAATAAAAAGCAAACGTTCCCCATTTCTTCACAACCCCTTCCGCAGTGGTCCTCCTCTCATACCCACCCCACCCCGCAGAAGTAACCACTGTTAACAGTTTGAGCACATCCTTCCTGTCTTTCTTTTATACCCACGCAAACGCAAGTACGCCCTTATTCCTATGTAATGTAGTGTGATCACTGAAATGGGCTCTTTTACCTACAGTTTTGAACTTGTGTATTTCGATACACTGCAGCCGTCTCTCCATGCTGGAATATTTAGCTCTAACCTATTCTGTAGTAAATAGGACTACAGTAGTAGTTAATGGCTACGTAATATTCCATCCTTTGGGTATATCATGATTTCACTCAGTCTTTTCTTGGTAACAGTACTTCTCAGCTTAGCTTCTAGTCTGTTTCTTTCATTTCTCTCTGTCCTGACTCCTCACCTGTTTCCCCTCTTTCACTTTATCATATTGAAACCAGCTGGTTGAAAGTTCTTGGGACCATGGTTAATAGAGTCAGAAGTCTGGCGGTGTTGTCCACGTGACCCGGTGGTCTGAGCCAGTGCTAGCTCGCACACCAGTTTCAGTTCCCTGGGAGTTTTTGGATGCCCCTGCTCTTGGCTGTGAGCCGGCAGCGGGTCCAGGCCCCGTCCTTACCCGTTCAGCCTCTCCTTCAGCTCGGGGCAGATCCTGTTGTTGTTGTCCTTGATTTCCATCAGGAGCATGATGTCACAGCGTTTGATGACCTGCAGAGAGGGAGTTCCCGGCCATGTGAGGCCACTCACTACAAATAATGAAACCTTTATTGGGCACTTACCATGTTTTAAGTTGGATGCTTTGTTAAAGTAATTAATTTCTTTGAAACAAATGATGGACTCCCTGAGGTAATTACTACTGTTGTGTCCATTTTAAAGACAAAGAGCCTGAGGTTCTGAGATACTATTTAATGTCACCCAGCTAAATGGTCCAGGCAGAATGTGACCTTGGCAACCCAGGTCCAGAGCCCACTGTCACAACCTCTTGGTTTTGGTTGAATAATTACATAATAATAATAATAAATTTTTACGAAGTCCTTAGTAAGTGAAAAGTATCAGGCTGGATACTGCAGAAAAAAAGAGGTATAATTATGATGATAATTGTAAGAGCTAACATTTGTTGTGAGTCTACTCTAAGCCTCATCAACCCTATGAGACTATGATTTTTAGTCCATTAAGCGTAGAAGGAAACCAAGCTTGGAGTGATTGAGTAACTAGTTTAAAGTCACATTGCCGATATAGGTGGTAGAGCCAGGACTTGAACTGAGGTATACTGGGCTGCACCAGGCTAAACTGTTAAACTACGGTCCGGCCCTCAAAGAATCACTATCAGTGAGAGAGCTGAGTGGGAAGAGCTAGCTACAATAAAAGGCAAATAAAATTTGTGCTGAATAAAAGCCAGAGCTGTGGGTGTGTTGAGGAATAATTGATTACATCAGCCCTGAGAATCAGGAAAGTCTCCACAGAGAACAGGCCCTGAGAGGTGAGAAAGAGCTCAGTGGGTAAAGGATGCAGGAGAGTCTCCTTCAGGATGAGCAGTAACCTGGAGTCCAGGGTGCAGACCAAGCCGACGCCCACTGGAGACAACAGGGATCTTTCTGTGTAGTGGGTTTCGGTGGGCTTAGTGCCAAGGAATTTGTCGGTCAAGGTTAATTTATCTTCTCACATAGCCTCTAAAGATGTGGAGAGGAGGACTATGCTACTGGTCTTTTTTCCAGAACACATACACATTCCAGTTTCCTCTCCAAGGAGGGCTTTGTGGAGAGAGCCACCAGCACTGGCTTGTACAGCCTTTAAGAAGTCCTGGGGGCTGGGGATGCACCTGTGTAGTGTCGGAGGAGGAAGACTGTCTGAGTCTGGATCTTTCTATCAGTCGGCTTACAATTGATGGGTCTGCTGCTCACCCGGCCAGCCTGCTGATTTGGTCACTTACCACTGTCAGACCTGTCTGGAAGGCATTTTAGAATATGAATCAAAAGCCTTTAAAAATGCATTTATCCTTTGGTCTAATTTTCCCACTTTTAGGAATGTCTTCCGTTGTAAAAGGGTACCTATTACTTGGCACCTTGGTTTCCTCATCTGTGAATTAGGATAATGATTCCCTCACAGTGTTGCTGGAGAACAAATGGATACTTCGTGCCAGCCATATAGGAGGCGCACAACAAATTACTAGTAGTAGTAGTAGTAGTAGTAGTAGTACTTGTATAGATCAAAGAGGAAGATGCATTACAACAAAAACATTGGAAACAATGTAAGCGTCCCCAAAGAGGAAAACATTCAATGAAACATGTTGCAAACACAGAGTAAAGCATTATCCAGCATTAAAAGTCATGTTTTAAAAGAATATTAAAAACACGTGAAATACTTCTCATATAAAAACAGAATGCAAAACTGGGTATGGGTGTCTCCATGCTGCAAAACAGATGTAGATTTATGTATTTATTTTTGCATAGAAAAATGCCCATAACAAAGTTACCCAAATGTGAACAACTGTTATCTTCAAGTGATAGGATACTTATTTATGTTTTTGTATTTTCATGATAGTCCATAATGACTATTTTAATTTAATAAAATTAATTTATAAATTATAAGTTTATAATTGAAAAATTATACCTCTGTAATTAAAAAATTTAAGGTGTCATTTTAAAAAAGAAAACTGCTTGATGAGGAAGAAATTGTGGGTGAGGAGATGATGGCCAATATTTAAGACATGGCAGGGATGATCATAGTTTATTTAACACAATTTAATTGAGTTGTCTTATATAAAGTGCCCGGTCAACAACACAGTGTCTAGCAGTGCGGGCTTAGTGGAAACTTCATAACTGTTAGCTCTTATTGTCGACCCATCACATTTTCACAATAACCCTGCGATGCCAACCAGGTTGTGTAAGGTTCATCTTACAGAAAGGCCCTGGAGGCTCAGGGAGGAGAAAGAACTTTGGGAACTGGCTCCCTGGCTGCCAGGTAGAATCTGAAGCCAGGGCTCCTGGTGTTCCCACCAGAACCTGGTGCCTCTGGGGTTTTCTAAAGTAATAACACCCAGAGTCCTGGGAAAGGTTTCGGCTCCAGTATCAAAAGTAAATTAACCTGCAGGATAAAGAGCGTCAGTTGACTCCAGAAGAATGTGAACAGAGTCCTAAGACATTGGTCATATTACCCAAGGAAAGACTTATCTAAGTGGAGAGAAAAATCAGAATTGGGAAAAATGTTTGATGGCTTGAGGTGGGGTCAGGGGAGAAGGAGGAAGAAAAGAAGAGGGGCAGGGAGAGAAAACTACCTTTGCCTAAGAGACTAACATCAGTTACATTCCTCCCAAGTTTCTTAAAGTCTGAAAGTTATAGAGAGAGCATGAGGGGTGCCCAGCGATCCTTCCGACAGGGATGGGGGCTCACCTTCACAATGACATCCATGGCGTTACAGTTTGCCTTCTTGGATTCCCCAAAGGACCTCACATTGAAGGAGCAGATCCTCAGGGCCAGGGCACTGTGGATGGAGAGGAGGAGCAGCAGCAGGGACGCCAGCAGCTGAGCCATCCTGGATGCCTCTGGCTTCAGGGCTTGGAGAGAGGACAGCAGTGTCTGGAGAGCAGGCTCCCTGCCACCTCCTCAGGAGTGGCTGACTTGTAAAGCCTGCAGATAACAGGAATGACTGGATTCCTTGTTGCTACTTTCACTTCTCTGAGGAACTGGAGATCATGGGTTTTTATTCCCGAAGGAAATGAGCTAGTTTTTTAGGAGCGCTTGTTTTTGTCACTCTGCTGAGGAAACTGGTCAGTTTAATCTAGGCACTAATCTGTGCAAAGTTGCTCTTAACCAGCCGGAAGCCAGCTGTGACATCTGGTCATCCTCCTGTGGTTGCGTACCATGTACCTTTTCCTGAAAATGGGTGAACTCGGAAGTGGTCCACCCCAGAGGGCATCTGGGGTGATGGAGCCTTCTGAAGGGAGGACAAGGAAGCAGGGGGCAGTGGGAAGTTCTGCCAAGCTTTCTGCCATCACTGGGATTTGACAGCTAGCTGTCCCTGGACACACCCAGATTCCAGCTCACTAAGTACCCTGATGGGCATAATTAAGGTCAAGTCTAGTTTGAATTACATAGTTTTTTAGGCAAGTTTTACTGTGTATAATTTAACACACGAAATACTAGCAGTGTGTTGCTAGGAAAAGCAATTGCTTGTCTGCTGATGGGTCAGTCAAATATCCGTGGACGTAAAGGGCAAAAAGGCAGTTAAGCTCCTGGAGAGAGCCATGCTTCAACCTGATATTATTTAATGTATGTTAGAGTTGTGTGGCCTTGAAAAAGGAAGGTTTTGCAAGAATTGTAGGATTTCAGTCCAAGTAAAATGGCTTTTAGAGATTTGGGTAGGAAGACAGGAAGATCTGAAAGGCAAAAGAAATTCAAAATCCAATCAAGTTATGAACCTGGGCAGGATTTGCAAACTTTGGCAAGGAAATTCTGTGAAGAGGGGAGGTAATATGAATAAGTTGAAGCCAGCGTTAGGATCTTTGGACCACCCCCTCTTGAAGTGATGGGCGTGTGGCCATAGCCACAGGGAAAAAGCGTGCAAATATCACCAGCATACATCCGTCAGCATCCTGGCAAGACTCTCTGGCTAAGCACCAGTGGCAGGCATTCTAAGGAGATGATCCCAAATAGTACATGGAAGGAGATAATGGTTTCCTGAGCTTGGGGGGATATGAATCTCCCTTCTGTCCATAGCCCAGGCCTCAAGCCTGGTTAAATCTGGTGAAAGCTGGTGGTGATTGTGTTCCCTGGTGAGTGGGTGTCTTCTAACCAGAGGAAGATTGAGAATTAAGTATAGTACACATTTTTTGTGTCTTTCAAAAAGGAATTTGTACTTATGTGGTATTTTATGACCTTGTAACATGTGACAGATTTTGGCCTGTTAAAATTGGCAATATTGCAGCTCCAACATAAAATGTACAATTGAGGGACTCTATTTAGATTTATAACTTTAAACCTCACTACATTTCTTTACTGTTCTCTAACGTTTGTAAGAATTTGGAGTCAACAATGTTTTATATGTTTATTAGATTTAGAATTATTTAGTATTAAAAGGGTGGCTTTTTTTGTTAGTTCAGACACCTGAAGAAGTTTACAAGGAAATAGGAATAATAAATTTATGAAATAAGTTTAAAATGTTTGTAAATAGGCCCATAACCCCTTAAAGGTAATTATTTAAGTTTGCTGGATGTAGGGTTGCCTGATTTAGCAAATAAAAATACACAGCACTAGGTAAATTTGATTTTAGATAATTTTAGATAATTCAAATTTAATTGGTCATCCTGTATTTTATCTGGTAATCCTAGCTGGACTTATAAAAAGAATAAGAACTTTATAACTGAACTTAAAAGCATGACATTTTCGAAGGCAATAACTACCCTGCCAGGATCCTGGGAAAGGATTTAATTCCAAGCATCAAAAATAATCTAACCTATAGAATGAAAAAGCCAATTAATGTTTTTGAATTTTTAACTTTGATGATTTGAATATTAATTTGAAAAGTAAAGGAACCTCTGAATATAGAATCAGCTCTTAAGGACTTCAAAAAAAATCATGTGAATAGACAGCAGAGATTGACCCCATTCTGTAATTAGCATACTCATTGCATGGAGCTGGACTCAAAAAAAAAAAAAAAAGTACCTGGATTCTGAAAGTAAAATCCTCAGAGTCAAATTTAAGTGAATCTAACTAAGTGGAGAGACTTCACTGAGTGCTTTTTCTTTCATCTCACTTCAGCACTTCCCTAGGCTCTTACTGTGGTCCCTCCATTTTGCAGATGAGCAAACTGAGGCTTGTGCCCAAAGATCCATGGCTAGCATGTGGCAGAGCTGGGATTCGATCCCAGTCACTCTGACTCCAGACCAGCCTTCTCCCCCACCAAACCAGGCACACCTCAGTAAGAAACCTGGGCACAAAGAGGAGGGGGAGATAAAAGAAGACTTCCCTTTTTACTGTTTACACTTGAGTATTGTTTGATTTTTTTTAACAAAAACATATACTTGATATACTTGTTTAGTAATTAAAAAGGAAGAAGTGCTAAAAAGCTTTTATTCTTTTAGGCAGGTTAAACAATGCCCATGCCCATGCGATATGTCTTTCTGTGCCAACTGGGCCAAAGGCAGCTCTCTCCCAGCCCCAGGAGTCACTGATACTGTGGAGGAGTTGGAGCGACTAGGCTGCACTGGTGGCCCAGGGACTGCATAAACCATCTACTCCTCCTTCTGTTGGACTCCAGTGTTGGGAATTGGGAGTTTGAGATAGTCTCTTCCAGAATCCTGGAGCTTGGAAGGAAGGAGAGACACTGGCCTGACCCACACTGAATACTCTGAGGTGTCCTTCCTTCTGCCATTTAGTGACTATGAATGACATTTCCTGGGCGTATACTTCCTAACACTCCTGAAGCAAAGGGTAAATATCTTTCCTTCTTGGAGACTTACAGTGCACATTAGCATAGGAAATGTTCTGAGAAGTCCTGCCATAAAGAAAGCCACTTAGCTATGTTGAAAGTGTGTCCTGAATTTATTGCCCATGAGACCCTTTTCTTCATACAGTTCCTTTTAGTATCCTGAGCAAAACATCCACCTTGGGAACCATACTGATTGAGCAGGGACAGTCACATTCACTCAAAGCCTTAAGCTCTCATCCTTATTGGTAAGTCCCTACTGAAGAGTCCCATGCATGTCATCTGAATGGGCAGGCTTGAGAGTCAGGAGTTGAGATGCATGACCCCAGACACCATTGGCAGCCACGGCCGTTCACCACTGGCACTGGTGAGACAGGAATCAGTGAGGGCCAAGGCACGCCTCAGAATTGGAGGAAGGCAAGGTGGGGATTCCAGGGGAGTGAAAGTGCCACAGGCTGAGTTACCCAGAAGCAGCAGGAAGAAACAAGGGGCCTGTAGGAAGTTTCCCACTGTTGGCGGGGGATGAGTCGCATGACAAACAGGTGTTTCCAGTGACTGATGCCGCTCCCTATCTAGTAGGGAGTGAGCCCTGGCAGTAATCTCATAACATATGCAAATTACTCCAGTCATTAAGTTTCAAAACCAGCTTGGGATTTGAGGTAGGCAAGGAGCATTATTTAAGGTTGCGTAATTGTGACAGACCTTACCTTTGTATGATGGTTTCCAGCTGATGAAGCAGGCTCTGGTTTTGACCTCACACAGAATCTTCCACACAGTGGGGCTGTGTCTGGACCTCAAGCAGGTTGCTCTCTGAAGGTAGTCACTGCTCAGCTAGAACCTTCAAAAGCTCTTTATTTGATACAGAGACCAAACTCTTTATTGTGGCCTCCACCTACTCACCTCTTCAAGGTCACATCCGCTTCTCACCCCTTCCAACCCTCCCCACTGGCCTCCCCTCACACTGCCTGGCTTTCAGTTCCCACCTCAGGGCCTGTGCACCGCTGTTCCCTCCACCTGCAGGGCCCTTCCTCCCACCTCTGAGTCTCAGCTAAAATGCCACTCTCTTGCTGGCCCCCCTCAGCCCCTAAGGGGCTTCCCTCTTATTCTCTTTCATGGAGCCCAGGTCTTTGCTTCATGGCATGTATCACACACAATGTATTATTATCTATGAGCTGTGTGTTGTCTAATGTCTGTCCTCACCCAACTCCCCACCCCCCCAAGACAGCTCTGTGGGACAAGGTCACCTGTGTGTGTCTGTGCTGCCCAGGACAGGACTGGACACATAGCAAGTGCTCAATAAATCATTATTGAGTGTCTGATAAGATGCTCTGACTCAAGAGCCTAGTTTCTCAGCCACCCTGGGAGGTTAGCCATGAACTCAGGTCCCTGGATAACCAAACTCCAGGCCACTGAGACAAAAGAAATGATAACAGCAACCACTACATACCATCTGCCTTTCACGGAGCACTGAGTGCTAAGTTCTTACAGAACTCTCTGACCTCAGGAGCAGAGCATGGAGCAGGCTTTTCACTCTCAGCACTGATGACATTTGGGGCCAGATAATTCTGTGTTACAGGGACTGCCTGTGCATTGTAGGAGGGTTAGCAGCATTCTTACCCACTAGATGCCAGTAGCACCCCCCAGTCATGGCAACCAAAAATGTCTCCAATAATTGCCAAATGCCCCTACGAGGGTGGAGATCACCCCATGCTAAGGATGTTGTTGTGGAGGTTAAAGCATACGTGCTTCCACTTATGGCTGTTCAACCTCAGGCAAGCATCTAAACTTCTCTGTGCCCATTTCCTCACTTTTAAAAATGGAAATAATAATAGCTCTTACATGGTAGAGCTGTGAAGATTTAGTCAGTTTACAACTAAAGGACAGACTCAGCACAGTGGCCCTTAAGGGTACTCAACTGGGGTGATATGCTGTCTCCAGAATAAACTGTGAAAAGAAGGGACTGCCATCTCCATTTTACAGATGAGAAAATTGAGGCTTAGACATAAAAAGTCAGGCCCCAGCCGTAGACTATGAAGTGACATCAAAGGCAGGAATTCAGGTTCTCAGGATTGATTCCCTTTGCCAGACCTCTTCGTAAGTACCAAATGGCCCATTAACTTCAGACCTCTCTTGATCAATTGCAAACTCTGACCTGGTGATGTTGCAGTTGGTGGGTTAGATCTGCCAGGGTGGGACTAGGGTGAGGCAAATGAGGCACTGGCCTCAGGAACAAATTTTAAGGAGGTGCCAAACAACTCAGTCATCAAGATAAATAATATTTTATGCAATATTTTGAATAATTATTCAAGTTAATGCAGAAATAACCATAGTGAACATAGTATTAAAATCTTAAAGACAAGATCCAACCCTGCATTTTCACGACCCTGCCTCATTCAATTAATCCTGTCCCTGGGATCTGCAGATCTGTGGAACCACTCAGCAGGCACATTTGGTAGGGGAAAGCCTGTTGGTCAAAGATGACATGGGAGAAAACAGCGCCATCTTCTGGCTGGCAGTGAACACTGCTCCTTTCCTGGGGAGCCAAATTCAACTTCTTTGCCCCTTGAAGCAGCTTCTCAGTACTTAAATAGTCTCTTCGCGCATCACAACGCTTTTCACCCTGACCTCTTCATGAGGCTTCTAAGTTAAAAGGTTGCAGGTCCAATAATGCTGTTGGAGCCCCCGGCCCACCCCTTCCCACTGGCCACTGCACTGCACTGGATCTGTTGCTTTTCTCTTTTTACTATCTGTGCAAACATGCCTGAGGACCTGTCTGCACTTCTACGGAAGATTCTAAAGCTGCCTGTTAATATAAAGTTGGCCTTTCCAGGCTCACCTCAAAAGGGGACTGCGAGGAGACAGGACCAAGTGGCGGAGGCTTCTCACAGCTGCTGACTGCTGAGCAGGGAGCTGGCTGCTACTTTAACTGCAAGGTTTCTTTTCCTTCTTTTGAGGGTTTGGTAGTTCTTAGCTTTGTTTTATTTATTTCTGTTTTACTTTTTATTTTGCAATAATTTCAAACTTACATAAAAGTTGCAAAAATAGCCTCCAAATTCACATACGCTTCATCCATATTCACCAGTGAACCTTTTTAGCCACATTTGCTTTTTCATTAGTTTTCTCTAAATGCAGTTTTCCCTGAACCATTTGAGAGTAAGTTGGAGACATTATGACCTTTTACCCCTAAATACTTCAGGTGAATCTCTCAAGGATAAGTACATCCTCTTACATAACTATTGAGCAATTAGAAAGTTTAGCAATGATAGGATATAATTACCTCGTTTACAGACCTTATTCAAGTTTTATTCTAATAAACTCCTTTACAGCAATATTTTCTTTTTAATCTAGGATTCAGTCCAAGGTTATGCATTGTTCTTAGCAGTCCTGTCTCCTTGGTCTCTTCTAATCTTTGTCTTTCATATCCTTAACATTTTTGAAGTGTACAGACCATTTATTTTGTTGAGTCTCACTCAGTTTAAGTTTGTCTGGGGCTTCCTCTTGATTATATTCAGGTGAGGCATTTGGGGCATGAATACTACTTGTGTGTCTCATGGAGTTTCTCAAACGAGCTTCTCACATTCAAAGGGCAGCAGGGTGATTCTGAGACACAGGACACTGATTGATTTAAAAGTTCTTAATAATGGCTATTGAGTGCTTGCTGTTTGACACTCTTCTCTGCATCTGTTGACTTGGGGGCTAGTCTCCCCTTGGAACGATGGCGTATGGAGTGCTTATGTTGGATCACAACAATGTATGACAATAACTGCGGCTACAGCTCCTGTTAGTGTATTGAGGGTAATAAGCTGTATTAAGCCCCATATTATGCATACTCTTTACGTGTATTAGGTCTTTAAAGCCTCACTACCACCAAGTTCTACTATTATCCTCATTTTACATGAGAGAAAATGGAGCCTCAGAAAGGGTGAGTCACTTGCCCCAGGACTTACAACTAGTAAGAGGCACAACCAGAACAGTTCTACACCAGAGTTCGAGCACCTAGTCAGTCTCTTACACCATGTCTTTCCTGGCTCTTAACAGTGACAAGACTTCATCAGTATTCCATCTCAGAACACCAAGAACAATGTACGTCTTCATCCCCCAGACTCCCTGCAAATGAGGTGCTTTCTCCCCATATTCTGAAACCTGCTTACCCCACATAGAAGGCACACAAGAGCTTGTGAGACACCCCAGGTTGTGTGTAGGGGACCTCAGTAGGTTGTGTGGTATGCTCCAGGGGCAGGCACCCATTCTGGTTCGTCATGCCTTAGGCATTTATTTATAAATCCATTGAAAACCACATCAGTCTCAAAGACAGGGTGATGAGGATAATTATGAGCAGGTGTCAGTTCTTAACCAACCAGTGACTCGTGAATCATTCTCAAGACAGGAATTCCACTTCAGGATGGAACTTCCCCCCAACAGGCAGAACCTGCTCCAGTCACCCACAGACTGGATGTAGATGCAGGCCAGTGTCATTCATGACACATGACCTTAAGAAATCCACTGACGAAGTGTGCAAGGGGGATACAAAGATGATAAGACAGCTTCTGCCCTGGAGGACTCAGAATTAGTTTATTGGACTTACATTGGTTTCAGTGAGTTTTTGGTGCCTCTGAGCTAGCATTCTACATCTTGTTACAAAACTGTCATGGTTTTTGAATTACCAATGTAAATCTTGGACTCAAACCTTCTTTTTTTGAGGGGGAGGGGGTCTATAGACTGTTTATTGGGGAGGAGCCACTTGGGGTGGCTCTAGGCTGTGGACCCCCCATGGATCCCCCACAGAACCCTCTCCCAAACCGACACTGGCTTTCTAGCTGGTAACCAGCATGCTGGGAGGGGACCACTCTGAAGGCTGGCCTAAGGGATACGATAGCTGGATCCAGAGAGCTTGTCCAGAAGGCCAGCCTGGTAAGCCTGAGGAGTGGGCTGAAGTGGGCTGAATTGGGCCCCCACCCCAGTGAGGGTGTGCAGAAAGAGGCAGCAATGAGGCAGACACCCAAATCTCTTTTTATTAGGGGAGAAGGGGAATGCTGCGGCGGCCCACTCACTGCACAGCTTGTTCATTGGCTCTGCTTCTTGAGTCCTGTGGCTTCACCACGTCTGGCAGCTCAGGGAGGGTAGAGAAGGGCTCAATGCGCAGGGCCTCAGAGGCATCATCTGCCTGGAAGGCTAGCCCCACAGTGGTTGGGGCCTGAGGCCGTGCCATCTGGCTGGTGAAGCCACACTCGCCCAATGTCTTGCTGTCATCCAAAAGCTGGCTGTCCTTGTACAGCCGCTGCTCATCCGGCAG